GAGGCATGGCTAAAAGGAAGAGGACAAGGCACAAGATGGAGAGATTTTTTGCTACTTAAAAGTTCTTCATTTCATCCTAAACTTGAGCTATGCAAAAATATTTGCAAGCAAAAGCCCAGGAAATTGTTTTTAAAGCTTGGTCAACAATTTTTCTTTTCCTAAATGTACAAAATATTTTTTAAAAATGAAAAGCCCTATAGTTAGAAATATAGAAAATTGATGAAAGGTAATCTAGCTGATAAAATGTTCTTAAGGTAATATATAAAATGTAATCACCCAGCGTTAGTACAGGGTACGCTGCCAATAATGCAACTCGAAGCCACTTGCACGGCTCTCTTCCGCCCCCTTGTGTGATGTCAGGACATCACAGGGCCTGGGTGGTGGAGAAAGTGCAGGGCATTATATTTGCCGGGCATTGCTGATAAAATGCATAAAAGCAATTCAAAGTGTAGACAGTTTTTACATCTTTATTTCTACTCGTCCACGTTTGCAGTTGCAGAGATCACAGACGTCGTGGGGAGTTGGTGCCTGGACTCTGGCTTTCTAAACTGCACCTTCAGCTTGGCGCTCCTGGGCTCGTGCCAGTTCTCCTCACTGGCCGGGTCCAGACGTGCCCAGCCGTGCCCAGCCGTCTCGGCAGCTCACGGAACGGCACCGGCTCCCTTGCCTTCTGCATCTAGATAAACACCGGAGCTTTTCACAGCAAGGCAGTTTTCTGTCTGTCCAGTCCTGATATCAGCCACTTACTGGCTTATTCCTGGGCCGAAGATGCAACGCGGGGCCACAGATGTGCTCTGTGTGGTCGCTCATGGGACTGTCCCCAAGAGCCCAGCCTTGCCGCCCACGTCCCGTCATGGGACAAGCACGCCTCCTCGCGGCCAACCCCTGCAAACCCAGAACAGAACGTTTACTCCCACCAGCTCCGGCTCTGCACCTGCTAAGACGGAGGTCTATGAGCCGGGAGAGCCAGGGACCCGTGCACACCCAGGGACAGGGGTAGGGACAGGACGGGGACGGGGCTTAGTGACTGTCTCCTGGGGATTTCTTATGCAAGCATTCGTCAGCTGGCTTAGGCACACAGGGGGAAGAGTGAGAGGGAAGTAAATCAGTCCGCTCACTGTGGCGACCACCTTACCATCTACAACCTAGCATCACACTGTAAACCTCAAGCATACACTATAAAATGTATTCCCCAAAAGTCACGAGGCTTTTCTCCTACCTCTGTGTGAGCGCACCGCCACCAAGTGTCTCTGGCTCCTCCTGCTGCTCAGTTGTGGTATTGCAGCTCTGGCTCGAGACCCTGGCCAGGGCAGTGGGTCCCTGTGAATCGTGGACTGCATTTCCCGTGGACAGAAGGGACCTGATGGTGACAGCTGCTCTAAGACCCCAGGTCCAGGGCAGAGGGCTGGAGCTTCCTTTGCAGATCTTAGTAGTATGCGATGTCCAGCTTCTTCTCGGCTGCATATGGCCAAGGGTACATCTATCGTCTTTATGAGAACCGTTTCCCATGCTGTGGAGTCCCTCTGGCCACGTGAGACCTGCTAATACAGGGCACACGTTGTGGATCAGACACGTGTTTCATAAAACGTTTCTCCCAGACTGCTTTACCCTTGGTTTTCTTAACTATTTTGTGTTTTTTTTGAAAAGCAAGATTTTCAGTCTTAGTGAAGTCAATATTAACATTTTTTCTTCTGTGAAGTTGGTGCTTTTTGTGTGTTTAGAAATCTGTCTATCTCAGGATCACATTTTCCTTCTCTATTTTCCCACAGGTTTAATTGTTTCGCCGTGACATTCGGGTGTGTGACCCTGTGTCAGCTAAGGATCGAGGTTTGCTCCCCCACACAGGAGCAAGGCACCCAGCGTTCTTGTTCAAAAGACACCCCTGCCCCAGAAATGACCTCAGCACCCTGGTGAAAGTCCAGGGGCCACCGAAGCAGGGCCTGTCCCTGCACGGCTACGCTGAGTCCCCTATGCCCTCTGTCCATCCCTGTGCGGGTATGTCAGCCTTGAAATTGGCCATGTTAGCTCCTCAACTTTTTCTTCTTCAACATTGTTTTTGGCTTACTAGGCCCTTGCTTTTCCTTGTAAATTTTAAAATCGACTTGGTAATTTCTTCCAAAAAGAAATTTATGGTAGGGATTTTAGGGCTATTGCACTGACTTTAAATAAATTTTGGGAGAGCAACCATATTACCAACATTAAACTTTAAACCAGTATTGAAGTCTTCCAGTTCCGCTTTTTAATATGTAGTGGCTTTTGGTTTAGTATCTTGCACAGTCGTGCTAACTTTGTTCCTGAGGGCTTCATTTTTGATACCGTTGTAATGGAGTTGTTCTCTCTAACTTAATTTCCATTATACAGAAATATAATTCATTTTGTATATTGGCTTTGGATCTGGCAATGTCGCCAAATTCACTTATTCTTTCTAGTAGATTTTTCTGGGTTTCTGTGGGTTTATTACCTGCTGCTTGGGAGGCTGAAGCAGGATGATCACTTCAACCTAGGATTCAAGACCAGCCTGGGCAATATAGCAACACCCAGCTCAAAAAGGAAAAATTACATTTTTTCAGTGTTTTTCACTTTATTTTCATTTTACTTATGTATTTGTAGTGCTGGGGATTGAATCTAGGGCCTTCATACTGAGCTACATCCATAGCCCCTTTTTGGATTTTGAGATAGGATCTTGCTAAATTGCTAAGTTATCCAGCTGGGCTTGAGCTTGCAATCCTTCTGCCTCAGCCTCCCAGACTGCTGTGATTGCAGTTCAGATGTTAGTTATTTTTCCCTCTGCGATGCTCAGATGTCTGTTTTTCTTCTCTGCTTTGATACCATATGTGACACCCCTCGTGCGTGTGTTCGCGGGGGCAGCCTTTGTGTGCACTGTTCTTGGATGACTTGCCGACATCACCTTGGGGGTTTTTGCATCACCCTGAGAAGCCCTGAGCTGTGGTTTGCTTTGCCTGGATGTCGTTTTTCTGGGACTCAGTGTGGGCACGTACCCCAAATCGTGTTGAGAAGTATAGGGTTGGGGTTATTTCTTCTCTAAATATTTGGCAGAATTCACTAATGAATCCATCTCAGCCTGGGCTTTTCTGCGTCCAAATTATGAATTCAGGTGCTAAAATCTATAGAGAGCTGCCCAAGTGCTCTACTTCTTCTTGGGAAATTTGCTAAATTATTCCCTTTAAGAACTGTGTCTGCAAATATTTCCTAAATTCTCTTGTGCTTCCTCTGGACCCAGGCTTTTATTTATGTGTTTAATTATTGGTGGTACTGGGGATGGAGCACCCATACCCCAGCTCTTTCATGTCTATCGTTAATGTTATTATTTTCCTTTTGAGGCAGAGTCTAACTGAGTCTATAAGTTTCCCAGGCTGGGCTCGAACTGGGACTCTCCTGCCTCAGCTTTCCAGAGTACAGAGATCACAGGGGCACCACCATGGCCACCCAGAAGACCCAGGGATTATTTAGCGGTGTGTCCGGAGGCTGGCCAGTGGCTTCGTGGCAGAGCAAGTGCCAGGCGCTGGGTTTGATTCCCCAGCACTGAAAAAAAAAAACAAAAACAAAAACAAAAGCCATGTGTGTCTTAGTTTCCAAATACTGGAGAATTTTCCAGAGAGCTCTGTTGTTAGCTGTTTAATTCCATTGTGTTTAGCTGAGATCCTCTTTGTGACACTGACTGGGTCTATGTTTTCAGTTTTGTGACCAGATTAGGGATTATCTTTGTGTGGGGCCGATTCTGGGCAGGGGCGGGGCCTGCCGGGGAGGGGCGGGGCCTGCCGGGGAGGAGCCTGCCCTTCTGGACTCCTCCCCCGCGGCCCCCGCTTCACAAAGGGCCCTGGAGGAAGGACTGCTGGCGCCTTGCGCCCTCACCCACCCTGATGCGGGAGCCGCGGGACCTGACTCCTAGCCAGGGCTCTGGCCTCCCCACCTCCACCCGGCCCTGCAGGTCGCTGGTCTGGTCTGCCAGCCCAAAAGGGCACATCCTGGCGGGGAAGTGACATGGTTCCAGGACAGGCTGGCAGCGAAGCTCCCGCACACCTTCAGGAGCAGAGCCCACTGTGCCCGCGGCCCCGGCGGCAACAGGGAACTCCGGGCACAGGGTCTGGCCACCTTAAGGAGCCGGGTCAGCCCCAGCCCTCACACTTCTGCTGGGGGTTCCGTAGCTCAGCCCAGCCTTCAGGAGGGAGCTGTGGGGAGCAGAAGTGGGGACTTGGCCTCCACCCAGCCTCTGGGCACAGACAGACGCCACCTGGGTGGGGAAGCGCTGAGCACACCGAGGGGACCGAGATCCCTGGGCCTGACGGTGCTGAGTGGGCGGTACTTGGGGTCCTCGCCAGGCCCTGGCCCCTGCCCGCTGCTGCCTGAGCAAGGAGACACCTGGCCTCTCTGAAGCCCACAAGCACAGCACTGCCAGCAGCTGCCACCAGCTCCCAGGTGTGCACAGGCACCCACGCCAGGACCTTGAACACACGCACACACATGCACATGCACACACGCAGGGCTGCTGCCCACTCCTACCCGTGTCCAAGCAGAGCTCCTGAAAGTTGTTTGAAGGTTTGGACAGCTCTGCCCTGCAACTGCCTGGCAGCCCGGAAGGACCCTCAAGAACATGCACACTCCTGTCAGTTTGCAGCCAGAGCTGATGCCCTGTCCCGATCCCGAGGCCTCCTCCACTCCCCCGGTCCGCCCGTAGGCACGGTGTACACATGCATAAACACACACAAGCACGTGCAAATACGTGTGCGCACACTCGCACAGGCCCCACACACACACCTCACACACAGGCGTGCAGGCACACAGGTTACCACAGCACCCGGACGCTGGACCAAGGCCGCCCAGTCACACACAGCCCTGGGAACGGGGAGCGCCTGCCTCCCGTGAGAGCCGCGGGAAGGCTGTGCAGCGCCCAGGGGACCAGGGGTCCTCTCCCAGCCATCAGGCCCCCTGCCCCCCGCCTGCCACACGCCCCAGCTCAGACCACACCAGCACAGCGCCTCTGCGTGAGTTTATTATCAGAAAGCAGAAGATCGGACAGACTCAGAAAATAAATATCTGCAGAGAGGAAACAAGCAGAGGGGGAGGAAGCTCAGGGCCGGCGGGTGAGGCGGGCCGGCAGGACGCAGGCAGGCACGGCTGCTTATGCCCTGCCCAGAAGCCGGGGGCTGGCGCGCCGCGCACGGGTCCGCTGGGCCTCCGGGAGCTCGCACACGCTGTCCTGGCACGTGCAGGTCTCGATGTGCGTGTAGCTGTGGGGCAGCGAGCCTCCGTTGGGACAGTCCAGGACCACCTGGAGCTCGGCGGTCCTCCCCTCCTTGCAGCAGGAGCAGCGATGGTCCAGGGTCTGCGCCTTGGCGGAGTACCTGGAGCAGGGCGCGGTGAGAGGTGACGGCCTCCTCCGCGGCGCCAGCCGGCCCTCTACGCTCCACGGGTCCCGCCCCCGCCCACAGGGCACGCGCAGCCCGACTCACATGGAAAACGTCTGGCAGGACCCGGAGCAGTAGTTGGTGGTGACGTTCTTGGCGCAGCCGGCGTGGGAAATTTCCTTGACGATCGGGATGGTGGAGCAGGGCACCCTGGTCTCATTCAGAGGGATGCCTGGGGGCGAGGCACGGGGCGGAGTCTCACACCGGGCCCCACCCAAGCGCAGCCCTCTGCCTCCCACGCGGCTCCCTCCTGCCTCTGCCCGGGCAGGGACTGGGCTCCCTGGAGACCACTGGTCGCATGGGTGGGGGACACCCCTTCCCGCTCCCTCCCCGGGCCGCCCGTCACCCCACTCACATCTCCGGCAGCACCCGTCGGGCATGAATGTGATGGAGCCCTGCAGGAGAGCAGAATGAGCTGGGGCAGACCCCGCGCCCCTTCTGGGTGGGGGCGGCTGGGGGCGGCTGGGGAGGGGGAGGGGCGGCGGGTGGAGGTGGATGGTCCTGCAGGAGGACCAGCCTCGCCCACCAGTGGCCACTGTCCCAGGACTGGGGACCAGGCCCCCGAAAGAGCAGGGTCTCCACTCCCGGGACAGCACACAGCCAGCGCTGAGGGCCCCCTCACCGGGACGCAGCTGCTGGGGTCGAAGTCGGGGCAAGTGATGTTGGAGACGGAAGAGATGAGCTGGTTGTGGAGCTTCATGCAGCTGAAGAAGGTGCACTTGTTGCTAGGGCTACTCTCGGCATCCCCAGGCTGTGAGCAGAGCAGGGCCGGGTGAGCCCCACGGGCTGCGGAGCCCAGAGGCCGGCCCAGGAGACCAGGAAGGGAGCACCTGCGGGAGCCGCTTCGCAGAAGCCAGGCTGCCTCCTGGCCCAAAGCCCCCAGGTGAGCAGCACCACGGCCGCAGGTCAAGGCACCTGTCTGTGGCTCCCCAAAAAGGTTTAGCCACGTCTGACTCCCCAAAACCAGGGAGCGACCTTATTTGGAAAAAGGGCACTGGAACATGTCACTAAGTGAAGGGTCTGGAGGTGAGCTGTCCCGGGTCAGGATGGCCCTACATCCACTGGTAAGTGTCCTCGGGAGAGAGGGCAGATGTGGACACGGGCAGAGGGAGGCGGAGGCAGGGCCATGGGGCCCAGCTAGGGACACCTGGAGCCCGGAGCCCAGCGGTGGAGGTGCAGGGAGGCTCCTCCAGTACCCCGCCGCGCGAGCCTGGACAGGACTCGGGAGCGCCAGAACCTGGAGCATCTGCTCCTCCTGTTCTGGCCACTGGTCGCCATCCTCCGCCCTCCTGTGCTGCCACAGCCCTGGGACACCCCCACCCTGCTCCACACGGGACCGGGAGGCCTCAGCGGGTGGGGTTGGCATCTGCGCACCTTCAGGACGACCGGCTGGCCACCGGGTATGCTGATGATGCAGTGGGTCTGCTGGCATTTCCTGCAGCACTCACCAGGGGCCTCCACAGGCTCGAAGCCCTGGGAACACAGACAGGAGGGCTGAGCTCTCTGGGGAGGGTGACTGGGGAGGGGCAGAGGAGGGGACAGAGGCTGAGGCAGGAAGGGGCGGCTCACAGGGTCGCAGGAGACGTTGCAGGGCACGTGGGTGCAGCTGATGATGTTGAGCTGGCTGCTGTGGTTGACTTCGTGGGTGCACACGCAGTCCTGGCACTTGGAGGAGTACACTGGGGATCCCGGCTACGGACAGGGAACATGGCTGGGAGGTGAGGACCCCACGCACCAGCCCACTCCAGCCCACCCCAGGACGCAGCTGTGCTGCCCGCCGCCCAGCGCGCACCTGGTACTCTGCGTTCTTGTGCACGCACACCCGCTTGGGCTCTGGGAAGAAAGCACAGCAGGGCTGTCAGAGGCCTGCCTCGGTGGCACAGGCCACACACCGGAGGCCCCTGAAGGGCTGCTTCCCTCCTCCTGCCCCTCGCTGCCCCGACTCACCACAGGAGTAGACTGGGCAGCACTGCCCGGGAACCATCTTGCTGTTCACCTCAAAGCCCAGTGGGCATGAAGGGGCCTTGTTTTTGCACAGGCTGGCGTTGCACTCTGAGGTGGGACAGGGATGTGAGGCTCCGGGCTCCTGTGGGTGCGCCCACCCGGCCCAGGGCATCGCAGGAGCCCCGCCCACGAGGGCTGTAGGGACGCTCGGGCCCAGCAGGGACAGGCCCACCCACGCCTGCCCAGGGAGGTCTTACTGCACGAGGAGATGTTGCAGCAGGTGTCGGCCGGGTTGACCTCGGTGACCAGGTAGGTGCCATCCTCCATGCACGTGGGCGGGGCCTCCCGGCTGCACTTCTTGGGCTGGCAGGCGATGCCGCTGCCACCCTCCAGGCAGACACAGTCCTTGCAGTCGAAGACAAAGTACTCCCCAAACTGCAGGGAGGGTGGGGTGAGTGAGCGAGGAGAAGAGCAGGCCCGCCTCACCACACCCCAGGTGCACGAAGGCCCAGCCCATGGCTAGCCGGGGGAAGCGGGCAGCTCATCAGGACAGCAGGCTGCTGAGCCACACAGCATGGCCTGGCACAGGGCAGACACACCTCACCACCAACTACGAAGATAAGAAGTCACCACACGGCCAAGGCCACACAGGAAACAGACAGCGCTGAAGTGACCACGGCCACCTCAGGCCAGGCAGAGCACATGATGGGTGAGTGGGAGGACAGGAGGTTGGAGGGACAGGCAGAGGGAGGGTGATGTGTGGGCGCAGGCAGATGAGCTCATAGATGGGAGCACAGGGGGTGGAGGAACTGATGGACGCGCAATGGATGGACAGATAAACTGAGAGACGGGTGGACAAGCGGATGGGTTGAGGGAGGGAAGGATGGATGAAGGAGGAGGAGGATGGATGGATGGGCAAACCAAAAAAGGGGTGGATGGGGTGTGGACGGACAATGCATTGAGGGATGATGGGTGGATGCACCAGTGGACAGATGAGGGGGGGGATGGACGATGGATGAGTGGGTGGGTGGACCCGTGCAGTGTGTGGATTCCCTGCTCCGGAAGTTAAATATTCATTACTCAGTCTTCGAGGCTCCTGGATCTCCTGTCCTCTTCACCTTGGCCCACCCCACCTCCCCAAATTCAGGACTTGTGGGAGAATCCCACCCCAGCACAGGGGCAGGCCTACCTCTCTGGGCACATTGTCTGGTCCCACACAGCCTGGAGAGAGAGAGGAAACAATCCTGTTAGCAGGGCACCTGGGGTCAGCCTCAGGCACCCCCGACCCCGCACCCGGACACTGGCGGGGTAGGCAAGGGCGTGTGGCCTACCGCATGTCTTCACACAGACGTCATAGCCAGGGGCGTATTTTGTAGTGCCTTCAGGACAGAAGCAGCCTTCCACCAGGATGGAGGAGTTCTGTGGGGCGCTGGAGGGGCAAAGGAACCCTCAGAGGGAGGTGGTATGGGGCTCGTGGGGGCGGGGCTTTGGGTGGGGCGGGGCTTGGTGGTGGGGCGGGGCGTCAAGGGCGGGGGCTTGGGTAGGGCTCGTGGGCGGGACTTCGAGAGAGGTCTGGGCCTGGGCTCAGGCTCTCCTCCTGCAAAGTCCCCTACCTTGACTTGCAGGTGGGCTCCTCTGCGGGCCTGCAGGCCTGGTACTGCTTGTGATCGTGGCACGCCATAGCTGCAGGAGGGAAGCGAGACTCAGAAGGGCCGCATCGGGAGGGCTCCCTTCAGTGACCGAGCCGCGCCTTGTTCCCACGCAGGGCTCCGCCCCCTGCCCGCTGCTTTCTAAGCTGTCCCCAGCTGGGCGGGGACGGGGGTGGGGGGAGGAGGGGCCCAGACCTGCAGGGCAAGGCGGCAGACCTCCCAGCTCCTTCACCCCACATCTGATGAAAGGCCGGGCTCTGACTTCCGGCGGGGTGGGCCCTTCCCGGGGCAGGGTTAGGGGAGGGGCTGGAGGCACTCACCGCAGGACCCGTTAGTGTGGCGCCGCCAGTCCACGCAGAACCCCTCCTGGGAGCAGAGGGTCGCGTAGGCCTGCACGCTGGTGCACTCAATGCCAGAGTTCGGAATGAAGCGGCTGTCGAATATGCAGGCCTCGTAGTAGTGCTGGGGGGGCACCCACGGGTGGCACTCGGCAAACAAGCTGCACAAAGAGGGGTGGGTCACATTGCTCCTGCTTCTCCCTGCTCCCAGCGCCCAGCCCTCCGCCCCCAGAGCCTGCTCAGCGCCGGAGAGGGACAGCGAGCAGGGAGGCCCGCTGGGTCTCCAGGCGGTGGCAGGGTGCACCACCAGTTGCCCAGGGGTGGGACTGCACCTCCTAAAGGCGGAGAACCCCAGCCTCGAGGCAACCCCAGCACCGTGGGCAATGACGCTGGGCCCCCTCCGTGTCCAAGCCCAAGCCTCCCCAACGTCAGCCCTGAGTGCCAGCTCCGTCTGGGTCACCCGGTCAGCGGGGCTGCACTGTGCCAGGAGGCGGGAGAGATGGGATCAAAAAGCCCCTGGGACCTAGTGTCCACCCAGGATGCCGTGACCTCAGCCCTGTCCCAGCCCCCACTGTAGACGTGCACGAGCACAGAGGCCCTGCCACTCTCCAAGGCCCAGGTCAGCCGCCGGCAGGGCAGATCACCTGTCCTTGATGAGCTGGCAGATGGGAGACGGAGTGCTGCCCGTGGACGGAGTCGTCCTGACAGCCGGGCGCTGGGTGGTAAAGTCGGCGTGTGGGCAGCGTGGCTTGGAGGGGTCATTCACCACCCACTGGTCAGCGGCCAGCTCGCAGTTGGAGGTGATCTCCCCGCTGGGCAGCACACAGTCGTCTGCCGTGCTGTTGGTGCAGGTGCCTGCGCCAGAGAAGGGCCACGTTGCTGCCAGGCCAGGCCACCGCAGCCAAGGCACCCCCATCCCAGGCCCCTCCCCACTTTGACCAGCCTGCGGGCATAGACCAAGCTGGGCCAGCTGCTCTTGGGTGCCCAGGGGGACCAAACCCAGGACCGAGGCCCCAAGCAGAGCAGTGGGAGACCGAGTCGGGCGGGCGCAGGGCCGGGGCTCACCACACTGGCCCTTGGTGTTGTTGCCGAAGCGCTGGTAGGGCAGCCTGATGGAGAAGGACAGGCCGTTGTAGGAGATGACGGCGCCGAGCTCAGGGATGTCCACCAGGAAGTTGATGCCTGACTCGTACACCTTCAGCCCGTACTTCTTGTAGGGCAGGGCCACCGCCTGCTTGTTGACCTGCACCTGCAGTGGCCAGGAGGGTCAGGAGGGCCACTGGGACCTGCCACCCCCTCGAAGCTCCCCTGGGGCAGTGTCTCTGCCCGCCCCTCCCCCTTCCTGCTCCCCTGACTTCCATCCCATTGCCCAGCTGGTCCCTGGAGAGCTGGGAAAACCCCCCTCCTTGGAGCCCCGGAGGCTGGGGCCCACATGGTGAGCAGGGTCCAAGAGCTGGTGCCCACAGGACCTGCTGTGTGGGGAGGGAGGCCCAGCTGTGCACAGCACACCCCACTCCTGTGCTGAGGAGGGGCTGTGGGCTGGACAGCAGGTACCAGGACACATCAGAGTCTTGTGAGACGAGCTCGATGTGTCCCTGAGGGAAGCCCCTGTCCTCTCCCACTCCAGCCCTGCAACCCGGTCCACTGCCTCCCAGACCACAGCGAGATGGACCCCACACCACGCCCAGCATGTACGCCCCTCACATACCTGCACCTTTATGGGAGTCATCTGCAGAGTTTTGATCAGCACCTCCTGGGTCTCGTGGTGCACGATGAGCGTGCGGGGGCAGGACACCTTGTCGTTGACATCACAGTGGTAGTTGTCGATGTAGACACCGAAGTTGTCCACTGTGGAGGTGATCTCCTCCACTAGCACATAGGTGCAGTTGCCCTGGTAGCTGTAGTACAGCCCATCGAAGGTGACGTAGTGCGGGTCCCCCCAGCCTGTGCAATAGCCTGTGGAGATTTGGGATGGTTTTGGGAGCCTGGTTCCCAGGCAGTTACTCTTGGGCACCTGGGGTCCCAGAGAAGCAAGTGTCCCCCTGCTCAGGCCACCGCAGCACCTCCTGCAGGACTGAGGGCCTCCTGACACCAATACAGGGGGCAACATGTGGGCAAGCAGACCAGGACTGTGCACCCAGCCCTCAGCAATCCAGGTCTGTGCCCAAGAAGCCCCGGATACCCCACGCCAGGAGGCCACCCCATGGCACCCGCCCCAGAGGAGGTGGCCCAGGAGGACAAGGCTCACAGTCACACTCCCAGTGCCAGCAGCAGCCATCAGGGTCCATGACTTGCACAGGCTTGAGGCCGTTGGAGCAGGTGGGCATGGGCGGCGGCTTGCACTCCACCTCCACGATCTCCACCACGTTGTCGTACTTGCAGATGGCCATCGTGCAGTTACACAGCCACCAGGTCTCATTCTCCTGCGGTGTGGAGGGCATCAGCCAGGCTGCGCTTGGGGCTGGAGCCCAAGGGCAGCTTCCTGGACCCCAGGGCAGCAGTCACCTGTGCACGGAGGCAGGTGCAGCAAGAAGGGACCTGCCCTAGCATTGCCTGCACCCAGAGGCCGTGGGGATGGTGCGGGCCAGGTGGTGGGAGCATCGTGGGCCAAGAAAGGTGGCAGCTCAGGCCTTGAAACCTGGACTAGACCACTTGGTACTGGGGACAAAGCCAGCCCTGCCCACTGACCTTTCTTGGAGGGGTGAAGTCTAGGCACCCGAGAGGCTTGGTGGTGACTGGTGTGCTGGACGTTGGCTTGGAGGGCGTGGGTGTGGATGTGGAGGGTGTGGGTGTGGACGTGGAGGGCGTGGAGGGTGTGGAGGGAGTCGGAGAAGGTGTGGAAGGGCAGGACCAGTTGAAGAACTGGAGTTCACAGTCCAGGGAGCAGTTTGCATAATAGCAGGTGTTCCCATGGGTCCCATTGTACACCAGCTCGCCTGCAGGCAAGAGAGACCCAGTCCTCACGCTGCCCAGAGGCAGGGCTGGTGCTGCAGATCAGATCCCATGGGGGCTACAGGAGGAGCCCCTGCTGTAGTGTCAACCTGTCCCCCATACTTCCCCTCAGCACACCAATGCATATGCTAATGGCATCAGGAGGGGCGTTGGCAGGCAGGCAGGACTCCAGAGGTCCTCAGGAGGGGTCCTACATGGCATTAGTGGCTTTGTATACCAAGCAGACAGACACTCAGCTCCACCCTGGCATGCCTTCTGCCATGTCATGGTGCCAGCGCCCTGCTCTTGAAATTCCAGCCCCCAGAACTGTGCACTAAACAAACCTCTATTCTTCATAAGTTTCCTGGGCTCAGGTGCATTGTTACAGCAGCAGAAAAGGGACTAAATTGCCCACTATTCCCCATTTAGGGGGTGTCCTCATATCCCACCCACCACCACCTGGGGCACAATGGCCCTGATGCACACAGACATCCTTCCAGCCCCAACCTCTTGCCTCTGGAGCAAACTCCTAGTCAGGACTTGCCCTAGTTCCTGACTTAGCAGAAAGAGAGGGAACGAAACAATCCCAGCTGCCTGGGCATTGGGTGGGAACAACATGGGTACCTGGTGCATAGTAGGTGCCATTCAAGAAGCAGCACAAGACAGTGGTGAGGGGACTGCTCATCCAGCCACTGCTGGAAGTCTGGATCGGTGTGGTCTGTAGTGTGGATGGCTCCGTCAAGGTCTGAGTGGAGGTCACTGCAGTGGTCATTGTCACAGTAGGGGGTGTGGGCGTGGCCGGAGTAGATGCAGGAGTGGTGGACTCCGAGGTTGTGGTGGTAGGTGTGGTGGTGAGGATGCTTACAGTGGTGGATCCCAGGGTTGAGGCCGTAGACTCTATGGTTGTGGTGGTGGGTGTAGGTGTGGAG